AGGCCGTGGCGAGAGAGCTGTTGTCTGGGCTGAAGCGGATGCTGCGGACGAAGAGAGTATATACAAAACTCGGAAGTTACTTACATTCTTGAACCCGGTACATTCCAAAGAAACACGGTACATTTACGCGCATGTACCGCCTTTGAGATCGAACCCAGCACTTGCCATATTCGAATGTACCGTGTATCGACAGAATGGATGGCACGTGTGTTGGATCAGTTCGATCCTCGCTTATGCATCCTATCCTCTCCCACCACCCTCCGCCCCCGATGCGTCGAAAGCGCGTCAAAACACCCCACCGCACCATGGCTGAAACGCACCCGCGCCGACAAGATATTTCGACAGCGCCCCGGAAATCTTCAGATACTCAAGCAACTTCGGTCGCAGAGGGAGGCGGACAGCAGATTAATAGGATCAGGGATGATTCCGTGAGTTTTTGCCCAATTGCTGTTCATTCTCACTCTGAAGGTTACCTGGTGGAACCTCCCAACTTCGAGTCCTCGAGGGTACTGCTATTGCGGAATTTTTAAATAGTTTTTCTTTGTCGGGCTCGGGGGCGAGCGCAAGGTGAGTGTCAGCTTTTGTGATATATTTGAGCCAGTTCTCGTCGTACGATCCCACACTGGATCCCACCGTCTTCCGCTTTGCGGCTGGTGATTTTTCAAGCCTTAATTCCAGCTCTGGTTTGCCTTCTGCAGGTCCTTTCCGTCCTTTCGACAAGTCCGCGACGATGTACGGGTACTCTGGTACGCCATTACCGCTTCCTACTTTGCCGCGTCTTTTGTTCCTGCTGAATCATCCGAGAGCCAACTCCCCTCATTACCTCCACCACTGGATTCGCCGCCGGTTGGTTCCCTCAACCCCTGCGGAACCTCGATCCGAAACCGTCCAGAGGTCGCGACGCGTTCGAAAAGCGGTCAATGAGGCAAATATTGTCACGTCGACGCGCTCCCGCGCTCCAACGGCACGTAAGCGCCTTGCAGACGATGAGGTTTCAGAGCAGCCCGTAAAAAAGCGAAGAGTACATGAGGTAGATCTTCTTGGTATCTCCTCCATTTCTACCTCTGAGCTGATGGTTTTCTAGGCACACACCGACAGGTTTATTAATAAAGTATCGTAGCGTTGTCTGTTTGTGTTGGTTCGGTGATGAATATGATGAATTGATTTGTTTCGCCTATACCAATGTGGGGGACAGCAGGCTAAGGGCTGTGACACCATCATATTGCCTTGGATTCATCCTAGGAATATTTAGAAACCAAAAAGAAGTGTGCAAGTGTCTTTGCGCGCCGGCAGGAACAGCGAAGATTTGTGGCAAATAGGTCACGTGCGAGTTATCGCGGTGCCAAAAGAACATGGGGGGTCCCATGAAAAAAATCGCAAACTCAATCATTAATCTCAACAAATACCAAGGGTTAATCCCTCCAACAGTATAAAAACGGAGGTTAGCGGGGCACTTGTTGACTGCTGAAGTGTTGAGCGGGGCGTGGGAGATCACCATCACGGCGATCAGACTGCATGCGAAATGTACCGTCCTTTCAACAAACCCGGCACATGCCCCACGCAATGTACCGGGTTTGAAGGGAATGTACCGGGTCTACAGGGGATGTACCGGGTTTGAAAAGGTAAGTAATGTCCGAGTTTTGTTAATCCCGGGACGAAGAGGTCTGCGTTTTCGTGGGCCAACACGCTGGTCGGTCACAAACAATGAAAGACGCTGTGTTGCCGAATAAAATAAGAAAGCTCACCACGTTTTTTGACCGCTTTGGGCGTCAAAAATCTGGGCTGTGCCTTCGCACCCAGTTGCGAGCCATTTACCGTCACTGGAGAAGTGCACACAGCACACCGGGCTCTCATGGAGAAACTGCAGCAAAGGTGAGCCAGTGTGACATTGACGAGAGAGAACAGCTCGCCGTGTGTAAGAGGCTGACATCGAGAGTGCGCGAGATGTCGGGGTTGTAAAGGACGAACCAGTCCGAGCCCTCCGTCTTCCACTGCGGCGGAACGCTAGATGGGTCGTCCGCATGTGCGAGGAAGTCATTCGCCCGCGGAAGCAGGCGACGGATAGGCCCTCCTGCGAAATTGTACACAGAGGGGGCCTTCACCTGTTGCTTCTCAAGTTTAAGATTATGCGATTGACAAAGCTTCTTACCAGTCGCGGCAAAAGAGAGTCTATGCCTGGCATGGGATCATGCCCCACATTTGACCGCGTATCGCGAACTTTTTGGGATCTGGTCCGCTCTCCGTCGGGGTGGGCCTCATCATCATCTCCGTGACAAAACTCCTGCGCGCCACTACCGGCCTCGCGTAGAGTAGTAGCCATGGCCGGGGGGATATCAAGTTCCTCCGTTTCGGCACTTGTTGATTCGGTTGAGTCTATGGCGGACTCCTCACTTCGTGATACGGCTGATTCTCTGTCATACTCCTGGATTCGGGGATATTCGTCCTGAGACTGGGAGCTCCGGCTCTCCGTACTGCATTCTTCAGCTTCTTCTAATTCGGAACTCGACGATTCTGTGGAGTCGGTCACGGAATCAGCTCTTGGGCTTTGTGATTCGCTCCATCCTCTGTCGCGATCCTGGATTTTGAGACGACTACTGTGACGCTGGAAGCTCCAGCGCTCTGGATGCTCTTCAGCAGGTGTGTGCACAGAAGTAGAAGGAACCTCGAAGTCTTCATTGAGAGCGTCCCCTGCGCTGTACAGCGAAGTAATCAGTGTTGCACGGTAAAACGTCTGAAGGAAACTTACGCGGCGATATCAAAGTCTGCTTGCTGGTACCGCGGTGGCAGGACATGGTCGAAGATGCTTGCCGCAGCGCCAGCGGCGTGGGGTAACAGCTCAGCGGATCGTGGCCTGTCCCAGTTTCACCGTCAGTGAATTCTCTTGATATGACCGCACTAACCCTCGTAAAACACAGAGAATTTTGCGGAATCCAGCGTACCAGGGTTGCTGGGCCCAAACCTCCTGATCGATTCTTGTGAACCAAGATGAGAGACCTGTAAGAAGAGTTAAAGCAAGAAAGTCGATAGCGTCGTAATCGCAAGTGGGCTCTAATTCAACGAGAGATCCCGATGCGAGGATGTCGGCTCCAATGTCCTGTAGCTTGCAGAGCACCGTGACACACAACTTCTTGGCGACGTCGAAATGCACAGTTCCCATGTCCAACCAGAATCCTGGTAAATCAAGGATTCCGCCAAGATATCGGACGGAGAGCAAACTATGATAACCTCAAGACGAGTTGACAGTTCAACTCAAAGAGGGTGCTCACCAAGAGTCACATTCAACCAATAACCGCTCGATGACACTAAGTTCGCCCGCCACACAGCTTGTGAGCTGCGGTATGCTATGTTGCTCTATGAGGATCGAGACTGGAGTATGCAACAGGCAAGTGGCGGCCAAGTTCCCCCAAAAAGTCCACTCTTCGAGCGGCGGCGTATGCGAAGTACGGGCCCAAAGTGCGAGAATGGTAGCCGGGTATGATGCGTCGTCCGAGGACGCTATGTTGCGCATACATTTCGCGCCCAGGAGATGCGCCCGGAGGCCAGGGAAGAGGGTAACAACGTCCACTATGCATTTAAATGCCTTAGTCTGTGTCACAGCCGCTTCCGTTCTACGGCCTGCGCTCAATTTCCACGTTTATCATGACGAGTACGACACACGCACGGCATTGCATATCCCATCAGGCTCCCGCAACGCTTCTCTATTTCCTTGGGGATAGAAGGGTGCCTAGTTTTACTCAGAACTGGGGTGCGTAAAGCTTCTAGCCGCTGAACACGTTGTTCGCCTTTCCCGAAATATGATTTGATTTTTTCGGCCCCGTCTTCGGGACCCAAACCGAAGTAAGCTGCAGCGCGGTTAACATGTTTCCCCAGAGTCTTGCCGGCAGAAGTGTAGAATCGGTCCAGAGTTCGACCTGGAGATGGGTTTAAGAAAAAAGAGGGCACGACAGTCCATTTTCCGCGCGGTCGCACAAGGTCTTTCGTTTGCGGCCCCGGGGTTCTGTCGGGGTGAACATTCCGACGACTAACTTGCAGGGAATTTGACGCCATCCAAGGGAGAAGGAATCAAGAGGGGTACTGGATCGCACGATGAGTTGCGAGGCAAGAAGTAAGTTTCGTTGTGGGCGCGTATTTACGGTACAAAGTCAAACGATGATCGGTGATCAATGATCCGACCTGAAATGCTCACCAGACGATAATGCGATCTTGTAATCAAGCGAGACAACTATTAGAAAGTGACAGTCACACGAGATTCGCAGCGAGCAAAGGTATGTTCAAGCTACCGAATACAAAGTACAAGGACAGTATTTAAGCGATAATAAGAGCTGTAGAAGGGCTGTAAGGAAGGCTGTATGGCTGTAGAAAGGCTGTAGAAAGGCTGTAAACAGGCTGTAGAAAAGTGCTGTACAACAATCAAAATGGAACAGGACGCGGTCACGGGCCATATTTCAACAACAACTCGGTGCCCGCCGTGTCCCAGCATTGAAGCTTCACTAGGGTCGCTTCAGGCCGCGGTAAGGTTGTGACGTTGGAGCCAAATTCGACGCCGACCTTTCGTCAGCGTCTCGTACGACACATAGGGATATTGAAGCAGAAATGACGAAGTGAGGTTGAGTCGTACTAACAGCGAGGATTTCGTGACTGCTGCGTCACCGGTGATGATGAATGTGAGCACATAGTGCCAGACTGGCCATCGTATTTGCATCCGGTTTGAGGCTCCTGGTCCAATTATGAGCGAATCTGGGTCGAATGCGAAGGCAAAGTCGTCCGGGACTCCGCAAGCCACTAGCGCCTACTTAATTCGGGTCAAGAGGAGTCCTGGTTCCAAGCAGCAAGGATAATCCGAGAAGAGTGTACAAAACGAGTCGTATGAGCAGCCTTGAGCGCGAGCGCGTAGGCAACGCGTGACAGTTTATCACGTGCTCGAGTGATGGCGGCGAATTCCGATTTCGCCGAACTTTCAACTTTGCTTCGAACAGGGTTCGCTTCCCTCTTTTTGTATAGACTCGATGGCGTGATGGTAGCGCGTCCGCTTTGATTCTTGTGAATCGCGGTTTATGCGGAAGGTGTCGGTTCGAATCCGATTCCAGTCATAGTTCGAACCGTACTTTATTTTTTGTGTACTTTACTTTTTGTGGCACGCTTCCCGGCCGAGGGCTCCCTATTACTCCGAGATTCCGCCCAATCGCACGTGGGAGACCCCCGTTGCCGCCGCCTTTCTTGCATATCCACCGTGCGTTGAGACAGCTTTCAAGTGTAATTTTCCCCTTGTTCAACTTGACAGCTACTGCTGCTTCGCGGCTTGGTCTTTACTGTAGCGGTGTGTATGGGTGAAACAGATTTTGCAGCGTGACTGAAACGATTAAGTTGAAACCAGAAACAGCCCAGCCGTTAAGCGTTACACTTGAAACGACGGACCTTGCGAGCCTGTTTTTTACCCGTTTTTTGGTGAAAAACTTCAGTGTAACGCAAAATTTATGTGAAACGGGGGCTCCGTTATGCGTTACATGTCCGAAATTTTGAAACGAAACGATGCCGCCGTTATGCGTTACGTTTCACCCATACACACGGCTACAGTATTCCAACCTTACAGCGGTAGGCCAGCCTCGGAGTCATCAAAAACGCGTATTCTCTTCTACGGCAACCCTGAAAGTCAAAGGTCGCTTTGCGAATTCACTACGTACAGTTCCGAGTTTAAAAATGTGTTTTTAACTCGGTCTTACCTCCATTTCTACAGCCAAAGTGAGGGTGTTCTGTGTCGATGACGTAGAAGACTTGTGGTGGAAACGTTACCCGAAAAGGGAATTTCCGTGGGTTTTTTTCACCCCTTATAGTAGTCCAGTCATTTCAGCTGACTATGATGTGTCATATCTCTTGACTCTTCTTGATCTTAATTGCCCTTCTAACTCAAAACTTCCCGTTGTGCTTTTTGCCCGCGGCCTCTGTTTGACCTTCAATCATTGGGCACAGTTGACGTGAGAGCTGGAAACCCCCGCCCCCCGGCGAGCTCGAGCCGAGCGAAGCTCGGGCGAGGGCGAGCCGGCAAAGTTCAAATGAGTAGACTAAAAGCCTGTAGTTCTAAGTTCCAAAGTTGACGTGAAAGCTGAAACCCCCTTGCCCCCGGCGAGCTCGAGCCGAGCGAAGCTCGGGCGAGGGCGAGCCGTCAGAATAAGTAGCTGTAAAATAGTTGCAGTAATGTAGAAAGCTGAAAAAAAGCAACAAACTCGGATCTGCCATGCGCATGCAATGGCCCTAAACCCCAAGTTCAATTGTTTCCCTTCCTGAATGAAACTTGTGTTTACGCCGAAGATCTACTCTCAAGAGTCCTTCATACTGTGATTCTAGGGCCCGAGGTAACCAAGCCATGACCCGGTATGACAACGACTCGGTGGTGAAACGTATCACATCCACTTCAAATACTGAAACGGTCCTTGTCAAAGATAAGTGGACATCGCCTGTTCGACCCGGACCCGAGTCATCGCCGTTTTTGTGACGTTTTGCCCTTTCTGCATTGGATTAACGATGAATGTTTGGAGGCTGACGAGATGGCAAATTATACGGCTTGTCTTTCTATGAGTACCAGCGCCTGACTTCGCTCCGGAATCCCCTCTGATTTGCCCAATCCTGATCTGGTTCAACATTTTTTTGCCACGCTTTTGTAAAGCTTGAGTTGGGCATATGGAGAGCTCATTGTCTGGGTTTCCCAATCCGAGCCGTGCGCTTTCTCTGATGTGTATGACAGCCTCGCAGTATCCTAAAGTCCAAGTACCAATCTTCACCGTTGCACGATCACTTTATTTCTGGCGTGCATACAAACTGATATTGAGGAAGAGACTCGGTGGCCAACAGCATCGCCGCTCACCCCATCCGGAGCGCCGCTCTTGGCTTAGTGCCACCCGTTCAAGCCGGGACCGAGACATTTGCATCTTTGCACATCCTTTTTTTTTTTTTTTTGGATTCCTCCCTTTCACACCCCACATTCTTCAAGTCCCAAGATTCTCTGACTTCAAATCCAGAGCAGTAGTTGGTGTCAAGAGAATCTACTGTCTACCACCCCTCACGCAGCAGATTTTGTCTCTCGAAGTTTGGAACATGTTCAACCTAAAATCAAGCCGCAGAACGACTCGGTAGTGAAGGCCTCACAACCACCCGGCGTTTCTTTTCCCGCTGAAGCACAGTATAAGTGGAGATCACCCGTTCGATCCGGGTCCGAGTCATGTAGCTGTGAACGCAACTTTTTTTTTCGACCTTTCCAGCTGCCATTGACAGAACGTCACATATTGCGCTGGGAGGCTCACACAATCGCATTGAATTCTCTCAAAAAAAAATTCGTGATGTCCTGTTGCAGAAGAGCAATATGTCTTGCCGCAGAAAAGCAATTCGACGTCTCCCAGATGTTCAGATTCGACGTACCCATGGTACCGACTCGGCGGCGATTGGTATCGCATCCACCTCACTTGAAAGGGCATAGTACTTGCAGGTGGAAGTTGCCCGTTCGATTCGGGCCCGGGTCATTCCACGGTTTGCACGTTTTCGGTAGGCAAATTGCGTCAAACCCAAGTCCAACCTTGGTTATCTTCCGGGACTCAGGATATATTGAAGGTTTTATTCTCTCGAAGATATTTGCATTACGTGTGCCTTGCTCAAGAGAAGGCTCCGATTTAGTCCCCCAAATGTGTTCAGATTCGACTTACCTATGATACCGACTCGGTGGCGATTGGTATCGCACCCACCTCACTTGAGGACCCCAGCGCACGCTTGCGGGTGGAAGTTGTCCGTTCGACTCGGGCCTGAGTCATATTCAAGCGCCCCAAAGTGCACCGTTTTTTGGCCATCCCTGCTATATTTTGCGCGGGCAGGCTTGGCACACAATCGCGGGGCGCTTGATTTGTCTCGAAATTATTTGCAGCCTGAGTACGCGTATCTTCTCCGGCGGGCCGACTTGATCTCCCGGATGTTCAGATTTGACTTCAGCTACCCATGATACCGACTCGGTGGCGATTGGTATCGCATCCGCCTCACTTGAAGCTTGAAGGCCATTGCGAACACCTGCAGGTGGAAGCTGCCCGTTCGATTCGGGCCTGAGTCATGCGCATGGTGCTTTTCACGAATACTTTTCCTCCGACCTTTCAGCATTCAGTTTGAACAGAAGGTGCATTGAACATTTGTATTCCAAGCTGACAGCTTCGAGAGAAAAGTAAGGATAGTCGCGAGGCCACCGATGCCAGTGCCAAAATTCCCGATGAGCGGCCTTCTCCGATTGGTCGGCGTTGAAAGCAGAAAGGATACTGTGAGCTCAACGTGAAGTAGGCGGAGTCCGAATGATTTATCGCTTGCTTAGGGAAAGGATTCGCAGAAATCTATGCGCGGCATAGTCAGCTTCGTTGCGAATATACCGTCGAAGACTTACCCGCGTCAGGCCAGCCATGGGTATTATTATAGATGACCCTCAAGTCCAAGCCCTCGTCAAGAAGCGGGCGGAGTTGGGCAATTGCCCCGCGCGGCAGGACCCAGTCCTTGAGCGGATACCTCCCGACGTCGCGTAAATGAAGCCGAACAGAGGCCAACTGCGTCTGAAACGCAGAGGTGGGGTTTCGGCGCGTCTGGACAAGACGGATAAAGTCAGAGTAGTCGAATAACGCATCGAATGAGGCGTGGATGATCAGGGTACTGAGACGCGGAACTAGCGGAGGGTCCCGGGCCATCACCTCAGCGAACCACGAGATGTGGTCATCAACATGAACAAGCAAGGATGTGAGGGAGGGCGAGCGCCGGAGGCACTCGACGAATTCCCAGGATTTGCCGGAGGCAAGTCCGAGATGCTCGATGACGGGGTTAGAGTCGAATAGAGAGATAGGAGGGAATATCATATAGCGGTCCTTATATAGCTCCAGCCGACGCAATTTAGGAAGGTTCAGAGACTCGATGCTGGACCCATGAAGGATCAGAGATTGGAGAAGCGGCGAGGCGATCTGCGCAATTGGTATTGGTCGCCCATTGTGAGAATCCTTCATGTGAGCCGTGAGGTGCAGCAGTTGTGGGCATTGTTTCATTGCATCGAACAGGGTTTCGACGGATATTTGCCGAAGTTCGAGGGTGGCCAAAAGGGGGGAGAGGTTGGACATTAAGGCAGGCACATCCCCGAGTCTGAGCTCCGACATAGCAGGAGCGTCCGGCAGTACCGAGAGGGAAGATGATGAGTAATTCCCATGCGGCATTATGGCTAAATGCTTGAGATGCGGAAATGCAGGGCAAATTTCTCCCAGAAGGCGAAGGTCGTCGTCGGGAAGCGTAAGCTCGAGGCGATGAGCCCGTCCAGCCGCAAGGTACAACTTTGGAGAGGTTTGAAAAGAATCCCGATTCAAAGATCGTATGGTCAATGAGAGTGGTTGCTCCTTGGCACGCGCCCACCAGGTTTCCTGCAAAGAGCGCATCCCGCGCATCCTGTTGATGTAAGACTTTCCGTCTGGGAAATCTCTGTACTTCCGCGGAGTCTGATCGTAGTTTAGCGGAATGAGAATATCCAGAGAGCTCCAAAGCTCGCTGGAAGAGAGCGCTATCTCCCGCCAATAAGTGCAGATCTGCGCCAGCGTGAGCGGTGGTGTGAGAGGTGAAGGCCGCACGCGTCCGTGGCTGGGAAGGCATGCCACGAAAATTTTGGAGATGATTTCTGGGGGAATTAATAGGACGGGATAAACAATGCGAGAGAGGTGCATCTCCAGCTCGCGCCGTTTGTCCTCGAGGGCATTCAGATGTGCCTTGTGCCGCAAGATCTCAGCTGCGACTTCATCCAACTTGGAGCGAAGCTGGACAGGGGAGTATTCGGATGTTGTTTCCACGGGGGATTCGGATGGAAGGGTCCACATATTGCACTGACCACAGCTGTCGCAAACTGCAGCCATGGTGGTCAAAAAGGGGGCGAGTCACGCCCAGTGTGACTAGCCGATGTGTGGCTTCGCTTGGCTCAGTATGGTCCTCTTTGGTTCAGAACCCAAAGAAAACCAGCATGTCGATCTGCGAAAAGTGTGGACACCAGTCTCCATCCTTAGGAGCGACTGGGCGCACTGTCCCGCAGCTATCCCCCTTGCCTTCG